TTCCAGTGAAATATATTTATGTTTGTGGTTGTAATGTGACAAAATATGGAAAAGTTCAAGGGGTATGAATACTTTTGCAAACCACTGTATTTGACCTAACCTGCCTGTCATCTCTGTGTTGTGTCCACTGTGTCTGCCTGTTATGTTGTAATCTATTCCCCTGCATTGTTGAATCTGGTCTCATAACATGCATCTGCACATCTCCCTGCAAGCCTCCACTAGGTGGCGGTGGCCCATCATCCCACCATTCTGAGGCCTCTCTGCCTGCCACCTCATCCTGCAAACCCTCATTTCTGTCGAGCCTTTGTGGTTTTACAAACTTACTAATTGCAGTTCTTACACCATGTTCATCTTCCTGTGGGCATAATTCAAGCAAACCCTTAACGACTGCGTAAGTAACATCTTGTGGCCATTTATCTTTCACTATCATGGTCCCAGTTCTGCGTGATGAAGATTTACTCGTGCCCTCCTCTGGGTCATCCCCGTCACCAAACAAAGGCATCTGTTTCTCAGCATTCGCTAACATGGTCACCACTTCCTTGTATGGACCTCTGTTGTCAGTTTTGTCTTTTTTCTGCTCAGTCTCAGTCACGTCTGCTGCCACCTGGTGATTCTGTTTTGTCTCAGAAGCGCCTTCATGAGAGCGCACCTCGTCAGCTGCATCACAATGTGTCGTCTGAGTATCTGTGAAATCTTTGTCAGATGTCAAGGTCTTGTTTTCACCCTCTTTGCTGGAGGTCAGAACGTCTTTCATTACTCTAAACATGCGTCGCCAATATTTATAAATTCTCTCTTTTTCAGGAGCTATCTTAGCCTGTAGAACTGTTTTGACTTCATCTGTTTTGACGCCCTGTTGCCACGAACGCTCTAATTTACAAACAATCCTCTCGACGGCTGCAGGTGTGGGTGCTGCTAACTAACTGCAAAAAATCACCTTCAGCTAATAACATTTTGCACATCTGCACAAAAACATCTTTCTCCGTCCTCACATGTTTAGATTCTACATCTTCCAGGTAAATCTGAAAAGTACGATGTAAGATCACACCCAGAGAACCTTCCTGGAAAGTATGCAAATCCTCTATAAATTTATCAGACATTTTTATYAATGTATACACGTAACCCCAGCACAGGAAATCTGGCGCAGTGCCCAGCAGGTGACAACCCTGAAGCAGACAACTCTAGTAGCAGTCCACCTCAGTACCCCCTGCTTTTGAACAATTTCCTGGCCTGGTTACCCTAATTTAAAACAAAAAAAAAAACAAACAAACCCAGAACTCACTATACCCACCCACAGATGTCCCACATACAGCCACTAGCGGTCACTTTTTTTTTATCAGACTTTTTAACTTAGAGTACTTTTACTCCAAAATCAATGCATGACACAGCTGTGTGAATAAATACCTGCTGAGTGGAGAACTAGCCCACACATTGTCACACACACACAGTAAAGAAGGGAAAAGGAAAGAGTTTGATTCCTGGATTTATTTCCCAAAGACACGCATGACCCCAGCCACCTATTAAACAAGGATTTTTTCTAATTTATTTTATTCACTACCATGCATAAAACCCACCAGGCAATCTGACCTAACAATTCATGGATTTTTCCTTTAATCAGGCCTAACGAAAAAGGCCCCCTCGCCACCACGAATTGTTTAGTCTAGTCCCACCCGTCCAGCGTAGCCTTTTGCAGAAAGCTCACCACGGGATTTTGGAAACGCGCTTAAAACGGCCTAAGAAGAAACCTTTAAAGAGCTCTATTATTGTATGACATTAAACCTACAACAGACCGATATGTTCAAATGTTTAAAAAACGTTTTTACCGTCCTCATAAGCTACGAGTGTTTGTTATGTCTGCGACCGATAAGCTAACAAGCTAACATTGCCACACCGGTTCACAGGCTTAGCATAGCTATGCTAACCGGCCATGGACTGATTTCAATGCCTGTAATTTTTGAATGGTGGTATTGTACAGCTCTGCAAATGGAACGTGTCTTCGAGGACATTTTTCAAGAGGCGAAAAGCAGTTTGGACATCCGTGAAAAAAACAGCCCAGAAATTCAAAGGCATATTTCACACACTGAAATTCTGCATAACCGTCTACAAAAAACTGCCCAAACTGCTTTTCACCTCTGTTTAAAACGTGTTGAATAATCTTTTTTTTTTTTTTTTGAAAACGCCAGCCACTCCAACCATTGAACAGACATGTTTGAAAATGTTTTGCATTGTCTAACGTAGTTCACAGGAGACGGAAT